AAAAAAAAAAAAAAAAAAAAAAAAAAAAAAAAACGAAATTGAATAAAAGAAAAGGTTGAATGACGAAAAAAAAAAAGACTGTGGAACTGATCGACAAAAAAAAAGAAGATGAAATGAAATTGAAGATGGACAAAAAAAAAAAACATCTGTTAATTATAGGTCATCAGTTGGCGTGTATATTTACGTAATTGTTATGGAGAACGATAATCTGCATGAATATCGCACATTATGTGCTATACGACTGAGACGATTAGAACGATGTAAAAAGGCAAAAAGTTTCTGTAGCTTAGAGGACGAATATAACGGATTCGGGATGCCGACAGTATCGGCAACCAAATGCAGATCACAGACCAACGAAATGGTTATGCGTGAACATCGAAATGCTGCTGCTGTTAGCCGTAACTATTCGTTTACACAGCAATCAACGCCAACTACTTGGCAAAATTCTGCAGCAACAGAGTTAAGGCCGATACAGGTGAACAACGATGAAAATGTTGGTCCTGTAAGTAACAATAAATTCGAGGTTCTAAGGCAAAGTTTGGTAAGTCAATATTTTAATATTCTTTCTTATTTATCTGAAAACTACTTTTGCCTTTCCTTTTCATAATCATCTGTGCTGTCTTTGAATTTTGAGACAATTTTGATGGGACTGCTTGATCGCTGAACAGCTTTGAGTGTTCATTCAGTTTCTGCAACTGTACATCAGTTTAGTTTCCAACTATCCTGTGGGATACTGAAATTGAAAAGCTAAATTTCATTGCATAAATTCTTAAATTAAATAAAGTCAAAATTATATCAAATGTATGATTCAATAAACTTTTTCTTCTACAGATTAAAAAAAAAATAATAATTTGAGCTTTGGTTATCGCTTTTTTAATTTTTTCTAATTTGCCAAACGATAAAAATAGTGAAAAAATCAAATTTAAATTGCAATATTTCTAAGTGTTTTTTTTTCTCAGATACATTTAAATATTTGGCTTTTTTCTGAAAACAATTTGGTGATTTTGACGTCGTTTAGATTATTGCCAGTAATATGATTTGAAATATTATTTGCGCAAAAGAACTGTAGCAATAATTAGCAATGATTTTAAAAGCAATAGGGGATATGTCTTTAAATCTTTCTCTTTTTTTTGTTTTTTGTTAGCAGACAAAATTGATATCATTTTTATTTCTGAATTGTATTAAGCAAATTTTAAGGTTA